TAATGTGTCTGAATGTCATTCCAGGATGGTCAAAGGATTGGGTCGGAGGGTTGGGAACTGCTGTTTCCTTAGGCCTGACCCTAGGAAGGACCCCTTACCCTCAGTCAGAGGCACAGAGGACCACGGGAGATAGGGACGTAAGGGGAGGAGAAAGATGGCGTGGCAAAGGAAATTTTGCCATCTTGGCCTCAGTTTGGTCTTAGAGGACAACAGTAGGAACCTTACCTGTGCCTACATCTCCTCCAGGGACTCAGTTGTGTGGTAGGGCCAAAGCATGGAAGACACCCCCATTTCTCATCACTGGCTGTGTCTTATTTCCTACTCAGGGCTTGAGGTGTGGCAGCCAGGATCTTGTAGGCAATATCCTTTCAGAATAAAGCAAAATAAGCACAGGATATAAACAGGAAATGGTTCTCCATCTGGTAACCCTGGTGGGGAGTGCAGTGGCAGGAGGAGGTGGCAGAGGGACATCAGGATGGTCTAAGTTATTGGGTATATCTTGGTTCTTGGGGGTTTCTGGGGATTTGCTGGCTTACTAAGAAATTTTTTTAAAAGATTTTATTTATTTATTCATGAGAGACAGGCAGAGAGGGAGGGGGAGGGAGACAGAGACACAGGCAGAGGGAGAAGCAGGCTCCATGGAGGGACCCTGATGCAGGACTCGATTCTGGGGACTCCAGGATCACGCCCTGGGCCAAAGGCAGGTGCTAAACGACTGAGCCACCCAGGGATCCCCCTAAGAAGTAAACTTGAACTGCTGCTCCTGGCTGTGGTAGACTGACTCATATTGGACCCACCCTCCTGCTGAGAACCATAGAAGCTAAATTAAGATTTTTGTTCTTTCTTTTAAGATTTTATTTATTTATTCGAGAGAGAGAAAGGCAAAGACACAGGTAGAGGGAGAAGAAAGCTCCATGCAGGGAGCCTGATGTGGGACTTGATCCCGGGTCTCCAGGATCACGCCCTGGGCCAAAGGAGGCACTAAACCACTGAGCCACCAGGGCTGCCTTGTTCTTGTTTTTAAATCTCTGTGAAGGTCCTGGAGAGCAAATTACCTTTGAGGTTACCTCATCAGCAAATACTGTCATCCAGTGCAGAAAAGCAAGAATCAATGGGGCTGCATAAAAGTGAAATAAGCTAGCTCCCAAGTATTTATGCAGGTCAACAAAGTGATTCAAGAATCTGGATAATAGGGCAGCCCCGGTGGCCCAGCGGTTTAGTGCCACCTTCAGCCTGGGGCGTGATCCTGGAGTCCTGGGATCAAGTCCCACATCAGGCTCCCTGCGTGGAGCCTGCTTCTCCCTCTGCCTGTGTCTCTGCTTCTCTCTCTGTGTGTCTGTCATGAATAAATAAATAAAATCTTGGAAAAAAAAGAATCTGGATAATATGAAAAATGATTACAAAATCACTGTATTCCAGGGTGGGGAAACTCATTCCGTTAGGGACTAAAACAACAAAACCCTACTTTAGGTTTTTTTTTTTTTTAGGTTTTTTTACTTAGAGAAAAATATAAATTTTAAAGCTGTCTGCTACTTAGAAGAACAGGAAATATATAACTTTTTTAAAGATTTTATTTATTTATTTGAGAGAGAGAACATGAGCAGGGGGAGGGACAGAGGGAAAGGAAAAGCAGACCCCCAGCTGAGCGGGGAGCCCAATCTGGGGCTCCATCCCAAGACCCTGAGATCATGACCTTAGCTGAAGGCAGATACTTAACTGACTGAGCCACCCAGGCACCCTTTGTATTTTTTATTTTTTTAAAAGATTTTATTTATTCATTCATGAGAGACACAGAGAAGCAGAGACAGAGGGAGAAGCAGGCTCCACGCAGGGAGACAGACGTGGGACTCGATCCCTGGACCCCAGGATCATGACCTGGGCTGAAGGCAGGCGCCAAACACCCAGCCACCCAGGAGTCCCAGGAACCCTTTTTTTTTAAATTTTTTAAATTTATTTATGATAGTCACAGAGAGAAAGAGAGAGAGAGGCAGAGACACAGGCAGAGGGAGAAGCAGGCTCCATGCACCGGGAGCCCGATGTGGGATTCGATCCCGGGTCTCCAGGATCACGCCCTGGGCCAAAGGCAGGCACCAAACCGCTGCGCCACCCAGGGATCCCCCCAGGAACCCTTTTTAAAAGAGATTTCTTTATTTATTTGAGGGGAGGGCAGAGGGAGAGAGAAACTTAAGCAGACCTTCCACTGAGCTAGAAGCCACTCAATTCCATGACCGTAAGATCATGAACTGAAACAAGAGTCAGATGCTCAACTGAGGTGCCCTGGAAATATAGAACTTTTAATTGTTAATTTAAAAAACAACTAGTGAGGCCTCTGGGTGGCTTAGCCAGTTATGTGTCTGCCTTTGGCTCAGGTCATGGAATGGAGCTCTGCAAGGGGCTCTCCTGCTCAGCGGGGTGTCTGCTCCTCCCTCTCCTTCTGCCCCTTCCCCACTGCTCCTGTTCTCTCTCACTCATTCTCTCCCTCAAATAAATAAATAAAATATTTTAAAAAATAAATAGCCAGCAAATGTAGCAAAGGCTTAAGGCCCACTGGTATAGACTTAAGGGAGACAGATCTAGGGGCAGAGAAAGAAGGAGGAGGAAGGTGGAGAACAAAAGACACAGAAGGAGCAGAAGAATTTTCTCTCTACCCCCATGTGGCACATGACAGATTAGGAATCATTTGTCATTTATTTGGCCTCAGCACCACCATTTACGAGCTGGGTGATCTTGGGCAAGTTAGCTAATTTCTCTGGGCCTCAGGTTCCCTATCAGTAAAATGGGGATAAGAGTAGTACTTACCTCATGGGGTCACCTGTGAATATGAAATGAGTTAATAAACAAAAAGCCCTTAGAAAAAGCTCAGAAAACACTGAATCAAATTAGACACTAAGCCCTCATTGATGCCTTCAGTAAACATTTATTGAGTGTCTAGTTTGTGCCAGATACCGGAGATAGGCTTTGCACTTGGCAAGAGCACAATGAGCAGTATTAAAATGAATGCAATGGCTTTTTAAGGAATAAAGCAGGGTCTTGCCCCAAGAACAGGCTGGAAGGCACTCCAGGCTTGGAGGTACAAAATTGCCTGGTGAATTGTGGGTGCCAAAAGGTAAATTGTGAGGAGGGGAAGGGAGGGGAGGGGAGGGGAGGGGAGGGAATTGCCACACCAGAAGGGAGCTTCAAGCCAGGTTTCCTGGCAGGACTGTGGGTGCCATCTTTCTAAGTGCTGTTTCCCTTCAGGTACCCAGAAATGTCAGTCACACCCCAGGGAGATGTTAGCTCCCTTGGACTGCTGTATGAAGCCGAGAGCTTCATGTCTGCAAACGGTAAAGCAACTGAGGCCTAGGGAGGTATGAGGACTGAGCTAGCATCCATTTGGGGGAACAATCTGGAATGATCTGGTCATTCTGGAGATGGGCAAACCCTATAGGTCCCCCAATTCCCCTCCCAAGTGTATGTGTGCGCCCACGTGGATCAGGAGATGTGTACAGGAGTACACACAGCAGTGTAGCTCCTCACAGCGAAAGCCAAAAATGGCCTAAATATCTGTTAACAGGAGAATATGAATAAACAGATCATACAGTCAAACAAAAGAATATCGTGTAGCAGCGAAAAGGAGTGGCCACTGTTATAGGCAGATCCAGATTTTACCAGAGAGAAGGCCTTGGAGCCCAGTAATGGGAAGTGTGCACTCTGGACCCAGCCTACCTGGTGTGGGATCCATCGGGCCCCATCACTTGTTAACTGAGAGCTACTGGGAAAATCAGTGTGCCTCTGTTTCCTTGTTTCCCACTATCAAATGGACATGGTAAGAGTGTATGTCCCATAGGCTGTTAGGGGGATTTAGATGGGTCAGTATTTACAGAGGTCAGAACCCTGTCTGGCACACACGTTCAGTAGGTACACGAATGTTGGATCAAAGTAGGATGTTGCATGGGAAAAAAGCAAGACTCTAGAGATTACAGATTTTTAAAAGTTCAAAAGCAATGAGGATTAAACAAGACGTTGCCAAGGTGTACATATATGCTATCAAGGGATGATAAACAGAAAGTGATCTGGGAACTACTGGGAGGCAGGGGTGAGGGATGGGGAAGTGAGCTGGGTATACGTGCATTGTTGGGAGTCTCAGGAGAGGGGTGGGATCCCAGGCACTCACAGTGTCATTAGAGGAAAAGCTTGCTTTCTTTTTCTTTCTTTCTTTCTTTCTTTCTTTCTTTCTTTCTTTCTTTCTTTCTTTTTTCCTTTCTTTTCTTTCTTTTCTTCTTTCTTTCTTTCTTTCTTTCTTTCTTTCTTTCTTTCTTTCTTTCTTTCTTTCTTTCTTTCTTTCTTTTTCTTTCCTTTCTTTCTTTTCTGAAAGAGAGAGTGCGAGCCCGATGAGTGATGAGTGATGAGTGAGGGAAGAGCACAAGAGCAGAGGGAGGGAGAAAGGAAGAAACAGACTACCCGCTGAGCAAGGAATCCGACTGGAGGGGTGGGGGTGGTGGGCTCATCTCAGGATGCTGGGATCATGACTTGAGGTGAAGGCAGACGCTTAACCAGCTGAGCCACTCAGGCACCCCAGAGGAAAAGTTTTAACACTGTAACCCTTCAGCATGAGGGGCCTTGGGCTTCAGGCCCAGACCAACTGGATGCTTTGGGGAAGAATGAGACCCCCCACCCCGCTGATTGCTCCCTGCCATGGTGTCCTCAGGCAGAAGTACAGCAGAGGCCTACGTCTTGCTTGCAGCTAATCAGAGGGAGGAGGATCTGAGCCAGTCAGAGGGAGATGGGCCTCAGGGAGTAAAAAGAGGAGGACATGAGCTGGTCCAAAAGATGGGTCTTGACTAGTCAAATGGAGCAGGGCCCCATTCTGAAGGAGGAGGGTCCAAGCCTGTCCGAGGGAGGGAGGAGGCAACTGGGCCCACCCAGGGGCCCCTAGAGGACTTGTTTCCCTTGTGGTTTTTTGTACTTCCTGTTCCCCTGCACACTGCGGAAGTTCCTCTTCTTACCCTGCACCCAGAGCCTAGCCGGAGAGGACAAGGGCAGGAGGCACCATGAGTGGGGGCCCTGTGGGAGGCAGGTCTGGTGGTCGCGGAGGACCAGGGGTTCAGCAGAACATACCCTCCACACTCCTCCAGGACCACGAGAACCAGCGACTCTTCGAGATGCTGGGTCGGAAATGCTGGGTGAGCTGGAGAATCTCCTGGCCTTCCCTGTCTCCCTCCTTTTCCTCCTCTTCCTCTCCTCCTCTTCTGACTCCTCATCTTCCCCATCCTTCTTCTGTCCTTCTCTCTTCCTCTCCCCCTCTTCCTTCTCTTCTCCATCACCTCCTCTCTGAAAATCCACTTACCCCCATTCACCAGTCCCAGGAAGATCTTGATTTTAGTATCTGTCTGCTTTCCCTCTGGCTGTGGCTCTTCCTTTGGAATCAGGACAGCCATGGAGAAGGAAGAACTGGACCCTCTGGCTGACCAGATTCCACTGAGCCCTGCTCTTCCCTCCCAGACACTGGCCACCGCTGTTGTTCAGCTGTACCTGGCACTGCCTCCTGGAGCTGAGCACTGGACCAAGGAGCATTGTGGGGCTGTGTGCTTCGTGAAGGATAACCCCCAGAAGTCCTATTTCATCCGTCTTTATGGCCTTCAGGTGACCCCCGTCCCCCCACTGGACATGCAAACCAGTGTTCAACCCGCAAACCCAGATCTGTGTCCATAGCCCAAGGCCTTAGAGAGATCAGTGAACCCCTGAGTCCCAGGACCAAAGATTTCATCCAGATGTCAAACTGTGGTTTGGCTTTCTTTCTTTTTTTTTTTTTTAAAGATTTTATTTGTTTATTCATGAGAGACACACAGAGAGAGGCAGAGACATAGTAAGAGGGAGGAGAAGCAGGCTCCATGCAGGGAGCCCGATGCAGGACTTGATCCCGCGACTCTGGGACCACGCCCTGAGTCAAAGGCAGATGCTCAACCTCTAAGCCACCCAGGCATCCCTGGTTTGGCTTTCTTTGTCTTTGATGACTGACCCTTGTCAAGATCCATAACCCCCCCCCCACAAAAAATATTAGTATAGTTCCTAAATCTAGTCTGTTTCATTAACTAAAAAAAAAAAAATGTGCACTGTATTTTTACCTGAACCTCAAATCTGTTCTAAACTCCGCATTTTGGGTCCCAGAAATCCCCCATCAAAACTCCTGGACACTAAAGGTTTGCCTAGCTCCTAAGCCATAGTTCTGCTTCACAAACATCAAACTGTATATCCCTTGACTGAATTCTCCACCCCTCAACTTTCAAGTCTGTATGTCTGAATCTCAAATCTCAACCCCAACTCCCAGTACTGGAGCCCCACCTGCCCAAATGAAGGCCCCATAAAGAAAAGATGTAAGATGGAGTCTATGTATGGTCTCAGTTTCCTAGGATTGGAGTCCTAGATCCTCACATTCGAGCCTAAGTCCCACATCTTGGGCTCTGAACCCCAAATACAAATCTCTCACTGCAATATCTAAGCCCTATACCCCTAAGTCCTAAGTACCCCAACCCTCCACATCTGACATATGGATTCCCAACTCTCTGCTGATAAGCTGGAAATCTCCAATCTGATCCCGGTGCCCCAAATTAGGCCACCATTCTCCTTGTCCAGATACAGAGGCCTGCCACCCAGGGCATGCCTCAGTACCAGTGTGCTTCCCCCCAAATTTTCCAGGCTGGCCGGCTGCTCTGGGAACAGGAGCTGTACTCACAGTTGGTCTATTCCACTCCTACCCCCTTCTTCCACACCTTTGCTGGAGATGTGAGTGATGACTCAACCGTTGGGCCTCAGTTGGGGTGTGGGGATGAAATGGGTAAGGGGAGGCTGGAAGGCTACTGAGCCCAAGATGTGTATAGGACTGCCAAGCAGGGCTGAACTTTGCAGACGAGGGCGAGGCCCAGGCCTTCCGAGCCCTGGTGCAGGAGAAGATACAAAAAAGGAATCAGAGGCAAAGTGGAGGTGAGGAGGCCTTGGGGGAAGAAAGGAAGTGGGGCAGAAGGGTATGCAAGAGAAGCGAGCTGGAAAAGCCCCTCTTGATGGTTCTGGTTCTCAGTCCACCTGTCTCTCCACAGACAGACGCCAGCTACCCTCACCCCCAGCACCAGTCAGTGAAGGTGAGTCCTCAAGTTCAAGGAGGATAAGAAGGGGCTGGTCCGGGAACCTGTGGCAGAGTTGTAATAGTTCTCTACCCATTCCATCTTTCCAGAGAGAAGAGGAGGGCCCCCACCCTTGCCCCCACACCCAGCCGGAGACCAAGGGGGTGAGTGCTGATTCTTCCCTGTGTCTCTGGGTGGACAGATGGATGGGGGAGTAATGAATAGATGGGTGGAGATGGGCGAGTAGTTGGGTGAGTTGGGTGAGTGCAGAGATAAGTGGGCAAATGGATGGGTGGGTGGGTGGATGGATAGATGGGTGGAGGATGAATTGATGGGAAGATGGAAACATAGATGTATAGATGTATAGGTGAGTGTACAGATGTATAGGTGAATGAGTATGTGGATATATGGATGGAAGGATGGATGGATGGATGGATGGATGGATGGATGATTGACTAAATTAATGAGTGACTGAACAGCAAATAAATGAATAAGTGATGTAACATTTCAATCAGTGAAGAAAGCAATGACTGAATAATTTAACAAATTTTGGTCAATGAGCCAGAATTAATGAATCAATACTTAAGTGATAAGCAGGAGTCAATGAATAAATAAATGAATTGGTGAAGGTAAGACTGGTTTGTGGGACCCACTCATCCACTTCTCCATAAACCCTAATTGGACCCCTCATCTACTCCCTCCATGACCATCAAACATACATGCAGATTCCCCCAACACTCTTCCTGTCTTCTGCCCCTACGCTTTGGTTGGTAGGTAAGTAGGTCAATGGCTCAATCACCCTATTATCCCCACAGGCCCAGCAACTGGCCCACTGTCCCTGGGGCTAGTAACAGTGGACATCCAGAACCCGGACATCACGAGTTCACGGTACCGTGGGCTCCCAGCACTTGGGCCTGGCCCAGCTGATAAGAAACGCTCAGGGAAGAAGAAGATCAGCAAGGCTGATATTGGGGCACCTAGTGGATTCAAGTGAGAACCTCTCCCCACTAGTCCCACAGGTCCCTGTTGGGGGGGCAGATGAAAAGTTGGACAGGAAGAGAGCTGGGTGGATGGAAGGTTGGGCAGATGGATGGGTGAGTGGGTAGGCAGATGAGTGGAGAGTTGGGTAGGTGCAAGGCCAGGCCTAGGGAAAGGCAAGTGAGGTTCCAAGGTTGCAAAATGTACAGAGGCAGTTACTCTAAGGGTCCCACAACTGCAATTCATGCCTCTGAGAGTAAGGACCTCCTTAAATTTTGCACCTTAGTCACCTCACTTGGTTCACCTTGGTCCTGCCCTGTGTGGGCTGCCCTGTGTGGGCTGGTCCTGCCCTGTGTGGGTTGGTGGGTGAGTGAATGGGTGGGTAGATAGATAAATGGTTGGATGAATGAATGAATGAATGAGTCGGTTGGGGAATGAATGGATAGGTGGTTGGATAGATGGGTAAATGGGAAGTAGGTGGATAGATGGATGGGTGAGTGGATGAGTATGTGGACAGACGAATGGATATCTGGTTGATTCACAGAGAAGGTGGATGGGGATGGATAGGTGGCCAGATATGTGGATGAATGGACAGTTCAGTGGATAAATAGAAGTGTGGTTGAATGGGTAGACAAAAGAGTGGATGGATTGAAAGACGGGCACATGAGTGGATGGACAAAGGTGTGTGAAGACAGATTGGCAGACAACTGGGTAAACAAATATATGTGGGCAGATGAGTGGAAAAACAAATATACAATAGACTGGTGGTCTGACAGGTGAATGCAAATGGCTAGGTGGACAAATGGATGGGTTGATGGATAGTAGTAAAAGGGATGGATGGATAGATGTGCACTACAAGCTATGAACTGTTCTCATTCAGTCACTCATTCATTCATTCACTTATGACTCATCCATTAATTCTGGCCTTTCCGAGTCCCTCTGGGCAGGGGAGGGCAAGAGGGCTTCACTAGAAAAGGAGGGAAGGAAGGGCAGTGGGGCTTCACTGGGATCTCCTCACCTCCCCAGACATGTCAGCCACGTGGGGTGGGACCCCCAGAATGGATTTGACGTGAGTAATTCCAAAGACCCCTTGACCTGCTTAAATACCCACCTACCCATCCAAAGTCCCCTGGCTCAGACCTACCCACAGACCCCACCCTTTCTACACTCCTCTCAGGTCTCCCTCTGAGATGGACCCAGTGATAATCGGTGCCCCTCCCCTATCCACCTTATTCCCCCACTCCTGCCCTGGCCTTTCTCCTCCTGGGCAGGTAAACAACCTGGACCCGGATCTGCGGAGACTGTTCTCCAGGGCAGGAATCAGTGAGGCCCAGCTCACAGATGCCGAGACCTCTAAACTTATCTATGACTTCATTGAGGACCAGGGTGGGCTGGAGGCTGTGCGGCAAGAGATGAGGCGCCAGGGTGAGCACCCCCCCCCATCTTCTCCAGCCCTAGTAGCTGGTTTCTAAGAGATACACTGCTAGTCATTCAGTTCTTTTGGAAACGCTTATAGTGCTTGAATCAGGAGTTGGTCAGTTGGGGTGCCATTTTACAAATGAGCAAAACTGAGGCTCTGAAGATAATTATAACAATAGCTATGTTATTTTCCCCCCTCAGAGCCGCTTCCACCACCCCCACCACCATCCAGAGGAGGAAACCAGGCTCCCCGGCCCCCTACTATAGGGAGCAACAAGGGTCGTTCTGGTCCACTGCCCCCTGTTCCTTTGGGAAATGCTCCACCCCCACCAACTCCCCGGGGACCCCCACCCTCAGGCCGAGGGGGCCCTCCACCACCACCCCCGCCAGCCACTGGACGTTCTGGACCACTGCCCCCTCCACCCCCTGGAGCTGGAGGGCCTCCTGTGCCTCCACCACCACCACCACCACCACCACCACCACCACCACCCAGCTCTGGGGAGGGGCCAGTCCCTCCCCCTCCTCCTGCTCTGGGGCCTTCTGTGGGACCGACTCCTGGTGGAGGTCGGGGGGCGCTTTTGGATCAAATCCGGCAGGGAATTCAGCTTAACAAGGTGAAGACGGGCAAGATGGAGGATTGGGGATCTGGGACTTGGGTGTGCTGGGCATGTCTGGATATTAGGGGGCCAGGGCCAAACTGATGGAGGTCCCAGGCTCTTGGGTTTCAGTGATAGGGCTGGGAGGCTGGAGGGGAGAGACAGGCTGGGAACCTAGAAGGGGACTTGAGAATATGGGAGGGGAAATAATGAGGAAGGGGCAGGGAGGTGTGCTCCTATCATGGGCCCTGAGCCCTCTATGCTGGATCCTGCTTGCTCCAGACCCCTGGGGCCCCAGAGAGCTCAGCACTGCAGCCTCCACCTCAGAGCTCAGAAGGGTTGGTGGGAGCCCTGATGCACGTGATGCAGAAGAGAAGCAGAGCCATCCACTCCTCAGGTGAGAGCCTGCCCTTTGCCAGGACAGTGAGCCCAGTTCCTAGGGCTAGTGTTGGCCTAAGAACAACCCTACCGGTTACCATTAATAGTACATTTCTTTTAAAGATTTACTTATTTATTCATGAGAGACAGAGAGAGAGGCAGAGACATAGGCAGAGGGAGAAGCCGGCTCCTCACAGGGAGCCCGATGTGGGACTTGATTCCTGCCCTGATCAGGAGGCAAATGCTCAACCTCTGAGCCACCCAGGTGTCCTGTATCCATAGTAACATTAACCCCATCATGACTCTCACGTTTGTCTTCTTTGTGACAATATTAACACTGTCATTATGGAACAATAATAGAATTCACTCTTTGACAATAACATTAACATTAATGCCAAGGCATGGCCACAATATTAATATTAATCCTGTATGTCCAGTAGTGTATAACATTAGCCCATATGTGATGATATTATAAAGGACCCCACCATAGACAATAATATTAACTTGAACTCTGTGTCAATAGATGAACATTAGCTTGTAATGTGATAATAATATCATAACCAACCCAATCTATCATAATAACATTCATCCCCTAATTGTGTCAATAATATTACTATTATATGACAATTAGATGAGGGTAATGTGAACCTCAACAGATTACTGACAGTATTAACATTAATCCCAGAGTAAGCCCACAGATTAATATGAATCCATTATATGACAATATTATAACTTCCTCTTTTGACAGTGATATCAATAACCCATTATAGGTCAACAATATTAACATTAGCCTGTTATGAAACAGCACTATTGTAATGTACTCCACCTTTGTTTATAATACTTAAAATTCATCCCAGTAAATAACAAGCCTGTTAATAACATTAACCCTTGTGTGGCAGTAACCACATAGTTGGGCAGTAACCCACCTAACTACATTTCTGACAATGGTATTAACTTTGATTCCAACTTCAACCTACACCCTAACTCTCCCTCCTCTGGGTGGCCCCCTTGCTCATCCAACTGCACAGGCCCCCAGATCTGACTTCCCAGCAGGAGATCTCAGCCCCCTGCCCCAGACCCTGAGTCCTGACCTCTCAGACCCCAAGAACCTTACATCACCCAGGGCCTTTGAACCCTTCTGCCCATCCTGAGTTCCGCTTTTTCTCTCCCTCTCAGATGAAGGGGAGGACCAGGCCGGCGACGAGGATGACGACGATGAATGGGATGATTGAGTCACCTTCCGCACCTGTTCTGAGCCTCCTCCCCTCCCCTGGCAGCTGCTGCTTGCTGTCCTCCACTCCTGGCCTCCAGGCCCTCAGGTCCCGTTTCTTCCCCACCAACCCTTCCAATGCAGTTATCTCTGACTGGTCCCCAAACATTCACCCTAGCAGTAGCCAGGGCCCCTTTTTATACAGAATTTCTCAGTGCTTCTCACATAATGAGTTTTAAACCAAAATAAAATAACTGTCTTTTTGTTTCTCTAATCTCAAATTGGTTTATATTCCAAATGTGGAAATTTGGGGTCCTTTTCCCCCAAAGTGTCTTTTATTCACCTATCCCATTTCATTTATTTAGCCTTACCCGTGTACATTCACTCATTTGTTCCCTCATTTATTTCTTTGTTTCCTTCTGCCTTTCTTTCCACAAACATTTGTTGCCCAGCACTACTTTAGGGGTTGGAGCTAAACCAGTGGGAAGAAAACCTAGTGAGGCCAACATTCTATTGGAGGAGACAGATACAAAACCAGGAATCAAACAGAAACAACAGATAGTTTCAGATCATGACAAGTGCTGTGATAGGCTGAGGGGGAACAGTTTCAGATGGAACATTTAGGGAAAGCCACCCGGAGGAGGTGACAGTTGTGAAGAATCTAAAGAGAGAGGAGTCAACCAATAAACCTTTGTGGGGAGGGCATTCCAGGCAGAGGGAACAGCCTGTGCAAAGCCTTGAGGTAGGGAAAGCTTGGTGTGAGGTTGAGCATGGTGAATGATCAGGAGTTATTTATTCCTTTACTTACTTATTTAAAAAAAGTCTAATCAACACAATATTAGATCAAGAGAATACTGGATGGTCAGACTTACTCTCCATGTACACAACTCACACACCAGGATCTTGATGGGCAGGATCCCTTTCCCAATTTTAAAATTTGGTTCTGCCCAGTTCTCAGAGCAAACCAAGTCCTGACCAGTGGCAACCGAAGAGGCAAAGACTTGGTAATAAGATAGATCTGCTCTAGAACCTGGCCGAGACCCCCCACCTCTGAGCCTGTTTCTTCATTTATACAATGGGCCGGATAACAGTATGTAACTGATTCCCCCCTCCTCTTCTAGGAAATTACTCACCAGAAAAAAAGGAGCAACTCAAAACTGTCCCTGGTGTATAAAGCTATTTCCAAGGGGAGTGATTAGACGCTCTTGCACATCAGAGCCTTGGAAGAGGTATCTCCTCCTTCTCATTTCTGAAATCTGGTGGATAAGGAGATCTCAGGTATCCTAGCTTTATGGGAGGAAGAGGGGAGTGGGGGAGAAAGAGAACAGTGAGGAGGAATCTGGAGAGATCAGGCTTCATTCATCTGCAAGACCAGTGGATGAATTTCTGAAATATCAGAGGTGCAGGCTGGGGGCTAGGAGAAGCAGCAAAGGAGAGCCACGGTGAGGGTGAAGGTGTGGGAAGTGGGGGCTGACTTTGCTCCTTAAGAACTGCCCTGAAGTCACAGAAGCTGAAGAAGGAGGGAGTCTCAAGTTCCTTTTAATTCTTTCATGGTTCTTCACCTTCCACTCCACTCCCCACCCCACCTCAGCCAGGTCACCAGGGGCCAGCTGAGTCTAGGAAGGGCCTGTCAGCATCACTCACCGACCTCCCCACTCCCTGCTAGGAAACTCTAGAAATCCAGTGTGCTGGGACCCCCTCAGCAGGCTTTGTCATGGAGAAGACCTTGTATCCTACAACCCCTGAATCTTCAGGAGCACTTGCCTACCGCAGGCATGGGCTTGGCAAACCAGTACTGACCATGGGCAAGTTGCTTGACCCTTCTGGGCCTCAGTTTTCCCCATCTTTAATTTGAGACAAAAAAAATGCATACTTTGCAAGGTTGCAGAATTAAAGTGTCTGCAAAGTGCCTGGCTCCTTGAGGCGACTACAAACATTAGATGCCACTGCTGCTATTAATCTTCCTACTACTGGTTGATCCTGAGTCACCACTGATCATAAAATGCACCATTATTGTATGTATCACCAAGGAAGACCAAAAAGGTACTGCGAATTAAATTATGACTCACCAGTGCTTGGGAGATGCAGCCAGAATTCAGAGATGTTCCAGAATTAAGTGTTCCTGGATCTCTGGCTGGAGATGTTTCTTAACCTTTGTTCTGGTCCCACAGTTATGTTTGCTTGTGAAAACGCATGACACTGATCACCCATGGCCTGTGACCTCTCCTAAATGTGTGGTACACTCAAAGATGGAGTTTGCATTGAAAACAGGTCAAACCTATACAGCTTGGAATGGAGAAGACCTTATTTGGCCCCAGCACTGGGCAAGGCAATATACACAGTTGGCACTAAAGTAGTGCTGAATGAACAAATGGCTGGGATTGGGACACAGTAATAATAGGGTGGCCTCTTCCTTTTGAGGTCTCCTGGACAGATGCTAGTCCAGAAAGATTGATTTCCAGATGAGTGGGAGATACCCACCCCAAGGCCACTCATCTGACATTTTCAGATGAAGAAACTGCCTAAGGTCACACAATTTAGCAAATGCTACCATTTGAATCCAGGTAGCTAGGCTCCAAGATCCATGCCTTTACTCATTACATTATATATACTGTTTGGGGAGGACCACGGTGTGAAAATTAAGAAAGGGAAACCTTACTTAAATGGACTCAGGATGTTAGAAGGGGAGGCTGGTAGAGGAAGCCTACAGCACAATGTCTACTGCAAAAAGTTTCAGCTACACACCCAACAGAAGTATCTCAACAGGAAAGAATGTTTAATTATAGGCCCCCAACAAAGGAAAGATGTACATCCTATCTCCTTTAAGAAACTGACTACTCCTGCAACTCAGCCAATGAGAAACCATCATCAGTATGAACTCTTGCTGTTGTCCAATAGATTTTTGTTCCAAACCTCTCCCAACCTCTTCCTTCTCCATAACATAATGTTCTCCTTTGTTTATTGGACTTGCATATGGTTTTGCCATAACTTGCTTGTTCTGCGTTGCAATTCTCAGCTATTCCTGAATAAACCCATCTTTTGCTGGTAACATAACTGGCAGTTTTATCTTTCAAACTGGCAAAGGGATGTTTGCCCAACACCCACATGCTCCTACATCACCCCCTCCAGATTCAGTCGGGCCTTAAGCCATTCTTATGGGTTGGACTAGGCTCCTGGGAATAGGAGGGTTTTACCTTTTTTTGGGAGACTGGGAGCACGCAAGGACCAGCATCTGACTGTGTTCTAGAAGGAATAGGGGAAGGAAGAGGATGCGTGGTGGGACGTATGCTGCTGATTGTTCCAGTCATGGTAAGCAGGAGCTGATGGAACTTCAGACTGACCGTCTATTTCTCCAGCAAGCTCAGAGCTAGACTGGCAGGTGGACAGAACAACCATCTGCTTAACTGTAATCATTTGGTTGACCACATAACTCATGGACCAACAGGGAAAGGGGCGCTTTGAGGAACTGACAGTGCAGTTGCCTGATGGTAGGAGGTACTGAATATCTCACTAAATTATGCCCACCTGGGACTGGCTGGGACTGGTGGTCTGATAGTGTAGAAGACAGGCAGCCTCCCAAGGGACTGACAAGCTGGCTGACTGGTGGTGTGTGCTGTTGCTGCTGCCTGGGCGGCGGGATGTTGTGCGTGGCTGACTATTGCTAGGAGTCACATCTGGCCTGAGGGAGTGTCTGGATGTTACACTGTCTGATGCAGTGTAAAGGAGGGCTACCCTGAAGGAATTTCGGGCTGACTGAGGGACAGATCTGTGACTGCCTGATAGGCAACTGTATCTGGTGAGTGACTGTCCACCCTGACCACATAGACCATGTGTGGTCAGTCATATGCTGAGAATGGCTGCCTGGCGACTGACAAAACGATGAAGAGCAGTGAACGACTCACAGGCCAGCTGACCAGTTGAAATACCAGTGTAGCTGCCTGACTGGATGGCTGTATCAGGTTGGAATCACAGCCGCCTGGAGGGAGCCCCACGGAGACTGACCAAATGACTGACCAATGGTGGGCATACCTCGCTGAGAAGTGACAGACTGCTGACCCACTGTCAGGTGGCATGGAGGCTTTAGTTGCTGTGACTATTTCTTTGAGGGAATAATTGCCTGATCATGGCGTGAATGAGGAGTAACCTGAGGGAATTAAATATTGACCAACACTGGACAGTGTGACTGCCTGAGAGGGCGACATCAGATGACAATGACAGCCTGTCCTCACCTAATCACGGCCCACCTGAGCCACGGCTGGTGGTTGTGAGAGGGTTTCCCCAGGGGGATTCAGGGCTGCCCCCAGAGCAAGAGATGGAGAGACCGGCTGCTTGACTGTGTGAAAAAGGGGCAGCCGGAGGGAATGATAGGCCGGCTAACAGTGTAGTTGTTAGGAACGCGTGTCTGCCTTAAGACTCGCAGCTGGCCACGAACGGATGCTGCCGTTTACTGACAGACCCTGTGAATGGGGGTGGGGGACCGGGGTCTGACTAAACAGTTGTCTGTGGTGATGGACCCATTGTCTGATTTAAGTCTGGGGACTGGCTGGCTGAGCAGCTGTACGTGGTGACAGTCCATCTTGGGAGTCACGGCCCGCTTGGGGTTAAAATGTGGTGACGACCGAGTGACGGTGGTAATTGGGGGTCTGACAGGACAGAGAATCCCCCGTGCGGCCGGCTGACAACGTGATTGGCTGACAGCGTGACAGACAGACCGGCGTACGGGTAGGGCCTCCGGCAACCTCAGTTGCCGCCGCTGCCGCTGCCGCCCAGACGCACTCTGGGAAAGCGCTGGCGAGCACCCGCCTTCGGGACCGAGCGGGGTAGCGGGGAGGGGTCCGGTCACGGCTCGCCGGTTGGTCCGCGCGGGCGATGCTCACGGCGCCGTGCGGCCAATAGGCTGCGCGTTCTCGGCCACGCCCGCGCGAGCTCTCTTCTCGCGAGGCCGGTTAGGCCCGAATGTCGTTAGCCGTGGGGAAAGATGGCGGAAAATTTAAAAGGTGAAGCAGTGGCGGTAGCGGCGCCGGCCTGCTGGCCGGGCCGGGTGGGCTAGAGGGGTGGCGTCGCGGGCTTGGGGCCCCGGCGTCTGAGGCCACGGAGCCAGGAGCCGGAAGCTTGGCGCGGAAAGGATGGGGCTCTTGGAACCCGGGCCTGGCGCGCGGGGCTGGGCGGGGCTGAGGGGAGGGGGCGCGTGCCTCCGAACGCGGCGGGCGCGGGGCTAAGTGGGGACGCGGCAGGGGGGCGCGCGCCTCTGATCGCGACCAGTCGGGGCGCGCACGCGCGGGGGCTTGTCCGGGAGGCCGCACCCGCGCGCGGGAAAATCGGCCGCCAGTGACCGTTACCCGGTTGGTGTCCACGCGAGACGCCGGAAGGGGAGGGAAGGGAAGGGGACGGACCTCCTTTTCAGAGTGGGGGACAGAGGACTCTTCATGGTGAGGGTATCTCCTTTCCGCGTGATGGGGAAAGGGTTTGCTGTAGAGAAGACTCCCCAGGGAAGAGGGGAAAGGGGGCTTCTCTGATAGGAGAGCTGGACTCCCTCGTGTGTAGGGAAAGAGGGGTGACTTTTCCAGTATGTTGGGGAGGGTGGGCTCCTCTGGGTGAGGATAGCTGCGGGGAGGATGGCCTCCACAGTGTGAGGGGGGACCTCTGAGAGGTAGGAATCCACCTGTGGTCAGTGCGGAGCCAGCAGCTGGAGAGGTTAGTTTGGGACCACTTTAGTGGGGTTTCAAATGCAAGTTAAGGGGCTTGAAAGGGAGAGGCATCACAGGGAGAGGAAAGCGTGGGCACAGGCTGAGTCTCCACTAGGCCTGCCTCAGTGGAGGGGGGGTTGTGCACACGAAATAATTTTGCAATGCTCTTGTACGTTTTCAGGTTGACGTCTGCAATATTTCATTAGGAGTTCAAATGTCTGATGTTTTTAAGGGGAGGTAGACAATATTAAAAATAGGATGAGTACTGACTGCATTTGGAATTAGTGTTCTATGGAATTATTTGATAAAATGGCTTTAAAGCACATTGTGCCTTGAATCAGAAGTCGTTTTCTTTCCTTTAAATCGGCGTCTTGAAAATTTCTGATAGCACCAGAAACATTCCAGGTATATTTAAAAGAATCGTCAATAACCTATACTGTTTTGCTGGTTCCTGAATTCAGAGCGTACTCCTTTGGGTGAGCTTTACCCTTCACAGAAATGTAGATGAGACAGCAAGCTAAAATGCGGTGTGAAAAAATATACCGTGTAGGTTTAAGGCACCCAGGCTAATCATTCAAGGAAGCTTCCTGAAATCTAATACCATTCCACAGTCTCTCATTCATAATTTTGAAATATAAAAAGCTCTGAAAACTTAAGTTTGGCGCCATTTAGGGGCAAAACTAGACTATAAAGTGGGACTATCTTGCCTCTTTATTTCTCCTATTTAATATAGAAAATTCAGATTTTTTGCTGCAGAATTACTAATGTGTTTGATTATGGCTTGATGCCCCTGACCACATAGCGGGTGTTAGGTAGTGCATACCTCGGACTACACTTGTAAAAATAAAAAAAAAAAATCTGAATTCCTAAACACAAGTAGCCCCAGGAGTTTCAGATAAGGGATTCCAGACCTGTCTTTCCAGTTAAGCCTTTGTTTGGGGCCTATGGGTTGTAATCCCAACCCCATCAGTTCCCTCAGGGCAATGCACCCTACTGAGATGGGGGGGTTGTTCTCTTTATTTTGCAAAGTGGGGAGAGGGATGATTAGGTCCTGAACCCAACTGCAGGTTTGCAGGCAGTTTTAGGAATAGTATGGAGGGAGTTGGAAGCTCTAGGAATAGATTCCTTTAGGACAATTCCTGCAGCAGATCCCACTTTGAGGGCCACAGCTGGGGGGGAGGGTGGCCTTGGAATGAGCACTGGGGCTGAAGGAAGTGGCACATTTTTGATGTAGAAGGGTCTCAGCATGGAGAAAGCCTGTGGATTAAATCTCACTGACTCTGAGGCAGTTCTTTGGAATCCCAGAAAGGATTTGGGGTCCCCTTTGATCGGTGCCTTCAGCAGGATACCCAGTAAGTTCTTTCTGGCCTCCTTGTTCTAGGCTGCAGTGTGTGTTGCAAGTCGTCTTGGAATCAGCTACAGGACCTGTGCCGTCTGGCCAAGCTCTCCTGCCCTGCCCTCGGCATCTCCAAGAGGAATCTCTATGACTTTGAAGTCGAGTACCTGTGTGATTACAAGAAGATACGTGTGAGTCTGGGGTGCCCATGGCCAGGGCAGGGGTGTCTCAAGGAAGCTGGCTTACTTCCCTCTTTCCTCCACCCCCACTTCCTGCATCTGTTTCCAAAGGGAATGTTCTCTGATCTTAAAGAATTAGGTTTAGTAGGACTTCTTATCATCCTCATTGTGCAGGTGAGGAAATTAAGTGGCTTTCTCAGAGGGATAGGAGCCAGAATGAATCCCCAAATAAGTCTTTCTTCCCACCTCCATAGGAATACAAACCAAGTGCAAAGATTGAGATGTTGAGTGCAGAAATGGAGATGTTGATAGCTAGTGATTATTGAAGCACATTCAGTATGCTGGCACTTCCTCTCAGAAACCCATTTAATCCCCCAAACAGCTCTGTGGGGAACTGTTGCCATTGCCAGAGGAGGCAATGGCAGGATAAAGAGAACAGATTGGAACCAGTATGGTTGGGTTCAAATTTTGGCCCTATAGCCCTGGGATACTTACCCAAATTCTCTGTGGTTCATTTTCCTCATTTATAAAATGGAGACAACTAATAAACAGCATCTAGCTCATAAAGAGTTGTGAGGGTTAGATTAGTTAATAAGATGTAGAAGTTACTTAGAAGAGTACTTGCTACATACTGAATGCTACAAAAATGTCAGCTTTTTTTTTCATTATGTATAGATGGGGAAACCAAGGGTCAGCAAAGTTAAATAACTTGCCTAAGGCCACATAGCCAGGGAGCCATAGATTCCGAATTTGTACCCAGGGTTTCTACCTGTAGAATCTATGTAGTTAAACTGTATCCTATAGCTGCTCTCTGCAAGAAAATATCCCTCTGCCTGCTGAGTGGAGAACAGATTGTAGGGGGCAAGGGTGGAACGGAGGAGACCAGTGAGGAGGCCTACTACCGTAATCCAGGCAAGTGATGATGGTGGTAGCAGTGACAGTGGTTTGAAGTGGTTGGATTCTGGATGTAGTTGAAAGGTGAGGCTGCCAGGATTTGCTGAGGGTAGATGTGGGGAATGAGAAAGAGAAGTCAAGGTTATGACTTCCAAGAGTTCGGGCCTGAACAGCTTAGAAGGAGGGACTGATGAGAGGAAAGAGATAGGAGGGAGTAGATTAAATTAAAACTTGGAATTTAGACTGTAATAAGGGGGAGAGTGAGATTTGAACCTAGGGATCCTCACTCTAGAGCCCATGCTTTTTGTAAAAATAATTAAAAAAAATATTTTGAGAGGGGATCCCTGGGTGGCGCAGTGGTTTGGCGCCTACCTTTGGCCCAGGGCGTGATCCTGGAGTCCCGGGATCAAATCCCACATCGGGCTCCCGGTGCATGGAGCCTGCTTCTCCCTCTGCCTGTGTCTCTGCCCCCCCCTCTCTCTCTCTCTCTGTGTGGCTATCATAAATAAATAAAAAATTAAAAAAAATATTTTGAGAGAAGGAGCTAGGGGGGCGGGGGGGGGCAGGGAGGGAGGGAGAAACAGACTCCCTGCTGAGCAGGGAGCCAGATATGGGGCTTGATCCCAGGATCATAACCTGAGCTGAGGGTAGATGCTTAACTGACTGAGCCACCCAGGCGCCCCGAAACCAGTGCTTTTTTAACCACCACATGGAGTCATTCCAGAAAAGGCGACGGGAATAGTTTGGGTGTTATCCACTAGCTTTGAGATGAAAGTCCCACAAGGGCTGGTCCAAGGGTATCGCCACTTATGGTGCCCCCATCCCCTGGTCCCCCAACAGGAACAAGAGTATTACCTGGTAAAATGGCGTGGATACCCAGACTCAGAGAGCACCTGGGAGCCACGGCAGAATCTCAAGTGTGTACGCATTCTCAAGCAGTTCCACAAGGACTTAGAAAGGGAGCTGCTCCGGCGGCATCAGCGATCAAAGCCCCCCCGGCACCTGGACCCAAGCTTGGCCAACTACCTGGTACAGAAAGCCAAGCAGAGGCGGGCGCTCCGGCGCTGGGAGCAGGAGCTCAATGCCAAGCGCAGCCACCTGGGACGCATCACTGTAGAGAATGAGGTGGACCTGGACGGCCCCCCGCGGGCTTTCGTATACATCAATGAGTACCGTGTTGGTGAGGGCATCACCCTCAACCAGGTGGCGGTGGGCTGTGAGTGCCAGGACTGTCTGTGGGCCCCCGCTGGAGGCTGCTGCCCTGGGGCATCGCTGCACAAGTTTGCCTACAATGACCAGGGTCAGGTGCGGCTGCGTGCCGGGCTGCCCATCTACGAGTGCAACTCCCGCTGCCGCTGTGGCTATGACTGCCCCAACCGTGTGGTACAGAAGGGCATCCGCTATGACCTCTGCATCTTCCGCACGGATGACGGGCGTGGCTGGGGCGTCCGTACGCTGGAGAAGATCCGCAAGAACAGTTTCGTCATGGAGTACGTGGGAGAGGTAGGGAGCCGGGACCCAATGTGTGTGTGTGCGCGCGCGCAGCTCTTCCCACCATTGTGTTTCCATTGTGTGCGCCCAGCTCGCCTCACTGTATGCCGGCCATGTTCCTGCTTTTCCTGTTCAGGGAAAGGTGGGGGCGGTTAACCTGAGTGTTGATAGGGACATCCTGGCAGGGGCACGGATATCCAGCTGGTAGTTGAAAGCATGCTGAAATAGACTTCTGGACTGGTTGACCTCATAAGGGTACCTATTGAATAGGAAAGCAGGAAGTGAAATCTAGGGAGTGTTCCTTTTAACAGCCCATGTGGTCTGCATAGGGTTGTGTCACCTGAAAAGGCACTACTTGAAAAGGCACTACTTGTTTTGCAAGGGCTCAGCTTACCACCAAGCAGTGTTTGACCAGGAGGAGCATCTATTACTAATCTGAACATGAACACTCTGGAGTAGGACATAGACATGCCTTATGTTGGCTGCCTCTTCCTCCAGATTTGCAGGACACTGGGGAAAGGCAGGGTATACAGTTGACCCTAGAACAACATGGTGGGGGGGGGCAGTTATCCTCCCCTGACATCTCCCTCTTAGTCAAATCTGCATGTAACTTCTGACTCCTCAGAAACTTAGCTACTAGTAGTGTACTGTTGACCTTACAATAGCATAGTTGATTAATACATATTTTATATGTATTATATATACTGTTATACACATTATTTTATATTTGTATTTTATTTTTTATATTTGTATTTTAATATATATTATACATAGCATATGTATTGTATTTTGTATTCTTACAAGAAAGTAAGCTAGAGAAAAGAAAGTGTTAATAAGAAAAATCATAAGGAAGAGAAAGTAACATTTACAGTACTATACTGTATTTATCAAAAAAAAATGTTCATGTAAGTGGACCCACATAGTTCAATGTGTTGTTCAAGGGTCAGCTGTATTAGGCAGACTAGCCACCTACCATATAACCCCCAGATCTTAGTGGCTTTACACATTAGAAATGTAACAGTCCTACATGGCTATTTGAGTAGTATCCTTCCACCCAATGGTGTGGCCACCCAGGCTCCTTCCCTCTTGTGCCTTTGCTGTGCCTTGGAGCCGTTGGCAGTCCTCACTCAGCATTGCTGGCAAGTAGGCTGAGAGTCGTGGTAGAAGGGGAGGTTGCTAATGGGCCAGGCTTGGACACAGTACCCATCACTTCTGCCCATGCTGACTGGAACCGAGTGACTGGCCTTACCTTGGTGCAAGGGAGGCTAGGAAGTGTGATTGAGTCATGTGCCCTGGTGGAAAACAAAACGAGTTTGTGAGAATAACCAGCAAGTGTCTGTAATACAAGTGTCATGTGCTAAGGTGGGATGTGATGTGCATCTGGGGTGGAGCAGTTCTTTTTATGTAGGACCATCTCATGCATTGGGGGAACATTTAACATCCCTGGACCTTGACCATTTAAATCCAGGAGTGTGCTGTAATGGTGACAACCCCAAATACCTTCATATTTTTAAAGGTCTCTTAGAGGTGTGATATAGTTGGGAAGTGACAGAAATTGGCCAAAGGGACACACACTTGAAGGTGTCCACACTGTAATGACACTGATGGGAGAGGAGAGAGTCCCAGAAATGAACCATAAAGTAGAGAGGGTCATAATCCCAGGGGGCAGGGGTAATCTAGAGGTAGAGCAGTCTGCACTTCAGAGGACCCTGACAGTCTAGACAAGAAGTCTACACTCAGATAATCCTGATGGTCTGGTGGAAGAAATGTCTACACATCGAAGGTCTGGAGGAAGGAAGAGGTGGCCATACCCCAGAGGGCTCCTGACAGTCTGGGGCAGGGGTCCTGATAATTTGTGGGAAGAGGTGTCTACGTCCCAGAGTGACCTGGAGGCAGAGAGCAAGCTCTCCACACTCCAGAGGACCCTGGCAGTGCAACTTAGGAAGTGTCCACACCCATACCATCCTGACAGTCCGGAAAAAGAAGTGTCCTCACCCCAGAGGTATTGAGGCAGTCTGAAGGAGATCAGGCCTACACCTAAGAGAACTCTGACAGCCTGGAGAAAGTGTCCACACCCTCAGGATCCTGACAGTCTGGAGGAGGTGTCTAGATCTGAGAGGGGTGCTAACAGTGGAAGAGACGTTAACAGCCCAGAGGGGTGTCCCCAGTCTGAAGGAGGACATGTGCACACTCTAGAGCCCCTGACAGTCTGGAGGAGGAGGCATCCAGCTCCCACAGGAGCCTGCCAGTTCTAGGGGAGGTCCAGAGAAGGGAGTGTCTTCAGCTTCACTGTACTGACATTCTCGAGGAAAAGCTCTTTATAACACAGAGGATCCTGACAAGTAAAGAGGAGGGAGAGTCCACAGCCCCCTAGACCCCTTGGTCAGGATGCTGTTCTGGCTGCTCTTCCTTAGTATCTGTAGTGTTTCATGCTGTCAACATGGGGGCTTTTGGGGCTTTTCACCCCTGTCTCCAGTCTTCCTTGCTCCACACACATTCTCCTCAAGCTTTTCTCAGCCTCCCTCCTGCCACATTCTGTGACTTCCAGGCCCCCTTCTGACACCATCAGGCCTACGGGGCCTCCTGATGGCACCACAGGCCCC